GACACACAAGCTGCAGTCGGAGTCACTTGGCAAGGGACGGGTTTGGGCCAAGAGCTTCGCTCTCGGGATGCCTCAGCTTCTAAAACACATTTGGGACAGCGCATGACAGCCATAGTACCTAACCGGCATGCGTCAGCCGCATTCAGGATTTCCGCGGCGACAACCTGCAACTCCAAAGCCCCCAACCCGAGGGCAGATCAGTTAACGGCTGCCGAAGTTTCGGCTTTAAGGATGATAGCGTTGCTCAAAGCTTGGAGTCTTGGAGTGGAGTGAAGCCGTCGAGTTTCATTGAAACATGGAAGCTAGACGGCACAAGCCCAAGAACGGACTGGGACTAGGGCATTTGCCTCAGGGCCCCATCGTCTCTCTTCCTCAGGCTCAGCGGCTACGTTGAGGGAGCATCCTTCGGCAAGGCATCGCTACTGGCAGCCACCGATGCGTTGGAGAAGTTCAACAGCAACAGCTTTGGCCTGAGGTAGACCAGTGTGATAGAAGTTCGGAGCATACAGAACCAGCTGCTCATGCTTGTGGTGTGCCCCAGTCAGTCTGTCCCACTCTCTCCCACTCGCTCGCTCGTTCCCTTTCATTTCTGCCTCTCAACCCCCCAACCGTGCATTGAAAAACTATGGGCGCGACCGAGGATATTTGAGTATCCTGTGTCCCCAAACTTCACAGGCCCGAAAGACCAAACAGCACCGCCAGCATATAATTGGCTTTATGTCCATGTGGCTGTTGTAAAGCCCGCCTTTCTACGAGGTAAGTCCATCCTCCAAGATGGCAACAGCAGTGAGCAAGTCTTCGCGGCCTTCGACAGCTTGGTATCCCTGAGGGCCAAGCTTCGGCCTCTTGCTTTAACACTTTGCGACGGCGCATGGTCTTTGGGTCTTTGACTTACGACCTCCTCAGCCTGCGTTTCGCTGCTGTATGCCAGGCGCGCGTTCTGATTCTGACCGCATTGATGAACCAGTCGACCAATACCAATACCCGCTTGCTTTGTTGGCTTCAATGGTGTGGTCGTGATGCCAAGCAAGGTATGCTACTCTGCCAGGTGATGGTGCGATATGGTGCGATGGTTGTAAATGCTTGGCTGGTAGAGGGCTGATTGCACGATCTTCAAGTTTCAGGTACTGGCAGAGGTCTCTCGCACTCCCACTCATGTCTCGTGCCTGCAGTCCCCACGTCCTGGCGAGTCGGAACTGCTTGCGAATCTACTAGGGCGCTTCTGGCGCTTCTTATGCCGACAAAGACGAGGGATGGAGGGGGAGAGGGAGCGAGAGAGAGAGAGCGAGATCGGATAACCTTCATTGCACACCCGGCCCTGAAAGCTGAAGGCTGATGAAGGCTATCTGCACTCGGAATCCCAATGCTCCGAGTTGCACTGAAACACTCCATCAATCCTGCCACTGCCCAAGGACTGCTTCAGATCAACGCAGCAGGGTGGACCACATCGCAATGTCACACGGCTGACAGCATATTGGTTTGTACAGGTGTATGCTAGGACCCCCAGGTTGCAAATTGGCGTTGTTGCCCGGGGTGGAAGTCCTAAGCACAAGAAACTCATGTCTTGGACCAGGTCCGTCGCGCAGGGCGCGCGTCAGATGCCGCATGGCAAAGTTGGAAGTGGACTTTACGTTGTGGACGGTTGCCTCAGTTTCCATGATTGTCTGTTTACAACTCACGGGGCAGCTCCCAAAGAAGCAAATGCAGCGAGGCAGCAGCAGCTGAAACTGCAGCGCGCGACGCTGGGTATCTATAGGCAGCCACTTGGGAAGCAGACTTGGGCATGAGGACCTGAGGGATCGGCTGAGCGCATAGGAAACGACACCTTCCATACTCCGACCGATGCCCCAAGCTATATTGAGTTGCTCTCTCTTTGGCCTCAAATGGGTCCCACACAGGTCTGCTTTCGTCACATGCTTGATTCCTTGGGCAGCATGGCTCCACATTTTTGTTTCACATCGGATCGAAGCCAGAGACCGAGACCTTAAAGAAGCGAAGCACTACATTCGAGCCGAGGAATGGGAACCGCACGCTTCAGGCAGTACGTCAGAGGCTGGGTTTTGGATCTTCGCTAAGCGGTCTCGCAAAAAGAATCTTCAGTCTAGGTAGAGCTAAATTCCATCACAGACGCATTGGCATTTGCACATTTGCACAGTATTGCGCAGTCTTTTCCAAAAGATGCCTTGTCCGGTTTGGCCCAGCGCCAGAC